AAAGTTATAGCCAAGTCCTTTAGTTTGGGTAAGTTAGTTTGGAAAACAATACTCCCTCTGGATAGTAAGGATCCGAAGTATGGCAAATGGTCGCCCAATTGGGAAGGGCCATATAAAGTAAATAGTGTGTTGCCTAATAGAGCCTATCATTTAGAAGATTTAGATGGCACCAAGCACATGAAATTTATTAATGGAAAATATTTAAAAAGATATATTCCTTCCTTATGGGAAAGTTAACAAATAAAAGTGTAATCAATATTGCATTGAGCGACCATAGATAAACAAGGCAAGAACGAAATACGTTCAAATAAAGTCATTTATTATCAAATAATCCATTTCTATTGAAGTAGATCAAGAATGTGATTGTTAAGGTCGATTCTCAAGTGGTAATTCACCAATTGATCGGTGATTTTAAGTGCCAAAGTGATTCCATTATAAGTCAATATGAAATCGCCCAAGAATTGTTGGAAGAATTCGACCAAGTAGAGATTCAATGTGTCAATAGGATATGTAATGACATAGGAAATGAGTTGGTCCAGATGGCCTCAGGATATTCAAAAGCCTTAAATTGGGAATCTACTTGTTAATATGGAGTAATATTGCCCGTAGTCCAAAGAAGGGCGAAAAGAACGGAAATTCATTGCATATAGGAGGAAGATGCAATATATGGGAGAATCGTGTGTTCAATATGCGAAGAGTTGTCTAGCATGCTAAAAGCATGGTCCAATACAAAGAGCGCCGACAAGAGATATGGCACCCATTATCAAACTTTGGCCGTTCAAGGGTTGGGCAATAGACCTGATAGGAAAAATTTATCCCCCATCGTCCAAGCAACATACCTTTGTTATAGTTGCAACTGACTTTTTCACTAAGTGGGTAGAAGAGACACTTTTAAAAGAGATCACCCAAAAGAATGTCATAGAATTTATTCGTGATCATATTATTTATAGATTTGGAATTCCACAAACTCTGATGGTAGATCACGGAACTTCCTTGAATGGAGATCAAGTGAAGGAATTTTTGAGCGAGTTTGAAGTTAAGTTGGTGAACTCCACATCATATTACGCTCAATCTAACGGACAGGCGAAATGTTCTAACAAAATTCTAAAAAATATCATAAGAAAAATGATAGATGAAAATGCCAAAAATTGGCACAAATGTCTAAACAAGGCCTTATTGGCTTATAGGACGTCGCCTCGGTCAAGCACCAAGGTTACTCCTTTCCAACTTACTTATGGATAGGAAGCCGTTTTGCCTATGGAAATCAACGTCCAATCAATTAGAGTGTGTTTGCAACATAAGTTAAATGATGGTGAATATGCTGAGTCACTAATTCAAAACTTATTGGAATTGGATAAATTAAAATTAGACGTCTTAGATAGATTGCAACTCCAAAAACAAAGATTGGCTAAGTTTTAAAATAAAAAAGTTATAGCCAAGTCCTTTAGTTTGGGCAAGTTAGTTTGGAAAACAATACTCCCTTTGGATAGTAAGGATCCGAAGTATGGCAAATGGTCACCCAATTGGAAAGGGCCATATAAAGTAAATAGTGTGTTGCCTAATAGAGTCTATCATTTAGAAGATTTAAATGGCACCAGCACATGAAATTTATTAATGGAAAATATTTAAAAAGATATATTCCTTCCTTATGGGAAAGTTAACAAATAAAAGTGTAATCAATATTGCATTGAGCGACCATAGATAAACAAGGCAAGAACGAAATACGTTCAAATAAAGTCATTTATTATCAAATAATCCATTTCTATTGAAGATGAAAATTTTGGATCAATTGTTGAAATGTCAAACGATGGCAGCAAATTAGTTTTTTTAAAGAAAAGGATGGAAATGAAAACGATAAGTGCGAAATACACGCGCATTTATAGAGTCGTGAAGATGAAAGGACAGAATATGAACGGTCAGATTCGTGTATAGTAACTGAAATCAAATGATCCAAAGTATTGGGAAAAGAGACGGAAATACCAAGAAAGAATGTACATGACTCTTAGCATAAAACAATTAAATGTTTGGGGGGTTTGACGATTAAAGACAACGTTAATAAATACGCAAGTAGACAAAACAGTCTTCATTAATGATGATAATTGTTGTTATATCAAAAATTAGCAATGGTAATTAGCGCGGAATTACAAAAGAAAAGTTAAAGCATTGGATCTCTTAATTATAATTCGCCCCGAGCCGAACGTATTCTTTCCCTAAGTCTTCTCCAATCCTCGCTCTGTTGAGAAGAAGCGGCGTCCAATTCAGTTACAAAATCGTTATCAACCTCCAATTTTTTGTACTACTCAACCAAAGATTTGACTCGTTCAATTCCTTGAGAAGCATTACATTTTTTAGCAATCATCGTCGCCCTACAATCTTTCATCTTCGCATGAAGCTCCTTCATCTCTGCAGCCAAGCTTATCATCAACGCGTCTTCGACCATAATTTCAGAGNATTTCAGAGGAGATTTCTTTCAATTCATCCTCGACTTTGTTAATCTCCAAAAGCAAAGACTCTCTTTCAGATGAAGCACGAAGATATTTAGCACTCCTGACCTTTAGGTCCACATTTTTGGCTAGCAAGGAGAGGATGTTAAAGTGGACAACCTTCAACGTCGCTTTAAAATCAGCAGAAAGTGCTTGTGCCAATTTCGCACTCAACAGCTCAAACTTATCCTTCTATTTAGCAGTAATGGCCTGGCCGATTTCGATGTCCATGAAAGACATATACTCAAATACTAACTGCTTGAGAGATTTCATATTTTCTTCCAAAAAAATGAAAGATGAAGTAGAAGAATGACTGGCTGAAGTAGGGCGATGTGTCTTTACTTCTCCCCATGAAGTGAACAAGTCTTGGATGGGACGCACAATGTCATCAACACCCTGCAAGGAAAGAGGCCAATAATGAGGACCTTCACTATGATGAGCAAAGTGAAAATGAAAGTGAAGTAAAAGGTTACCGTATCATCAATCCTGGGAGATTCATGCATGTCACCAGTTGGCTCTACCACTAGTGGGGACTTCCCCTTATCTGGATGAGAAGATTCTGCCACAACGGGCAGGTCCATGGGAGCATCTGCACAATTCAAAAAGCAACGAATCAAAAACCAGAAGTACAAGCAAAGGTAAAACATCAAAATATGTATTACCTTCCGGTTCAACATTTGGGGGGTCGACATCCTAGGAAGTAGGTGGCCTTTCTACTAGTTGCAATGAAGACTCTGGGACTAAGGGTTTCTCTTTGAACATAGTCCCTTCATTAGCTGATTTAGATGAAGCAGCTTCAATAGAGGGTGATAAAGCAGGAGCTGCCAAAACCAGAGCTTTCGAAGGAGAGGCTGCACTTTTCTGAGAAATTCAGTTAAACCATTAGTACATAGAAAAATATGTTTGTGAATAAAAAAATTCAGTTACCTTTCTCCTAAAGATAAGAGGAGCATCATCATCATCATCATATTGTAAAATGGGAGATGCTGAAGCTGGCCGTTTGCGGCTGGAGGTGGCTTTGGCTATAGTGGTCTTAGTAGAGAAGCAAGAAAATGAACAATAAAATAAAATAGTGATGAAGAAGAGCGAAATATAGAGACGTGGTTTAGTGGTGCGATGAAATGACTTGTCTTTTGGGTTTATAAAGGTTTGTAATGTTGCACCTTTTTTTAGGCTATAGAAAGAAATAATGATTGAAATTCTCGAGAATTTCAAATGTTGTCTGGAAAATACAAGGTGAATATGGCATAAATTAATACTTGGTATTAAATCTGCCATATTGGGGGTAATTGTTGACACACTAAAAGTGCAGCCTAAATTAAATAGCTCAAAGAGTGAGGCCCAATTGGGGAGTCCAGGATAAAGGCCTAAATAAAGTTATTGATGAATGTAGAGGAAGCCCACGAATACAGTAACATCATCGTCCAAGCCTGCAAAACGCCTAGAATTTGAGCGAATAGAATGCCTTACGGTCGCCTAGAACGGTAACCTCGTTCTCGCCCGAACCTTCGAGTCGCCCAGAATATTAACACATGAGATATTATAGTCATCCAAAATAGCAATTACTGAAACAGTTATCGAGCAGATTATCACATTCCATGATTTAAGGAGCCCATTTGAAGGCGGTTGAACGACAAAGAGTATTGGCAGCAGTTAGAGATGGCAGTTCCACGACAAGTTAGCCACCATGAAGAAAGTGGGTAGTTAGAAAGCAATCAAACAGTTTCCAAGCGGTTTGTCATGAAGAAATTATCATGGGAATATAAAAGGAAGAAAATACATAGAGGAAAGGACCCCGAATCAAACACTCTCAAATAGAGAATACGTAATTTCAATTTCTTAGATTAACTTTAATTATCCATTTTCAGTATTCATGTGCTTGCGCCCCTTGGAGGTATTCTATTTATTTCCAATTGTATCTCTCATCAATAAAGCACTCCTTTTTGGGACTTTGTCTAAGAGATTTGTCCATTACACAATCGTCTGAATTTCTTTTTAATTGTTAGCGACAACCCACACGAAACAGAATGTAAATATTGCAGCACAAAAAAAAAAATAATAAAGTACAAATATTACAATAATCCACTCGAAAGTACGGTGACTATTCTGCACATTTAAGGAAATTTGAAATATCTACAACTGAGATTTGACAGTTCCCACATGTAATAGATGTCATTAATTACAACATGACTTTGAAAAAATATTGAGCATTGTTTGGGATTTAATAAATTTGAATAAAGAATTTCCCAAAGTCATTGGCAATCTGCAATAAATAATTCAACTTTCTTGGGGATTCAGCGTAAAGTAAAGAAGGGGATAAGAGAAAAAGAATAAGATTAGTTGTAGTCTTATTTTATTATGAAAATTTGATTAGTATCTTACCATCTTAGCCTAAGGCAATCTGATTTTTCATGTCTGCAACAAAATTTGTACTCCAATTCTTCCCTATATAAACCAGCTCTGAATGCCTCTTCAGAACCAATTACTTGGCTTCAAACCCTCTCTCTATAAATAGCTATGGATTCATCCAATGCCATTGTGACTAGCCCAGACATGTTGGAAGAGTCTCCTCACAATGTCGTTCAAGAAGACGCTTTAAGTTCCAAAGAAATCATTGATCAAAGCCAATCCAATGAAGGGGTGAATAATCACGAGTCGAGCTTGTCAAAGTCCGTTAGGGCAAGTCCTCCTCCAAGGCTGTCAGGGTCACCCGAGAATCCACCTCTGCCTTCACCTGTCGATGAGGAAGAGGAGCGTGAGTATGGCTGCAGGTACTGTGAAAAGGTCTTCTCGAGCAAGCAAGCTTTAGGCGGGCACATGAATGCACACAAACTCGAACGCACCATTGAAAAAAAAATCCTGGATAGGCAGATGGCGCCTAACTGTGCATACCCTTCTCATTTTTCTGGTTCGTTGTTCAACAGATCTCAGAAATTTTTCAACAGGGCTATGATGAACATGCCTTATTTTGCTCAACAGTGCACCACGCATCGTGGAATGATGCGCTATGGCCGTGCACCCCCTCCCCTCCCAGGGATTAACGAGGGTTACCCTGGACGGCCGATGCCTCTGCCTGGAAATGTTACCCAGTTTATGGCACGTCCTGGATTTTCGTGCCTGGAAAATCGTCCTCCAGGCATTCATTCTCCAATGTCTGTTCCCAACTGGAACTTTCTAGGAGAGATTAGCAATTTGCAGATGAATGGTAGAGAAACTCGGGGTGTTCAAGATGACTCGGGCCTCGATTTAACTCTCAGGCTTTAATTTGATCATTTTGATTGAAGAGAGCCTAAATTTATGCCTCAAGTTTTAATTTGATACCTACTTATTTTAGTTCCATCAATGTCTTTATAATCTAGAGTTTAGAATTCGTGTTATGTTTGATGTCTTGTTTGTCTCAAGTTCCATGTCGTTACAACAAATTCTATACTATATTTCAGTTAATCCTTATGCTTCTGTCCCTTCATTTCTTTATCAAAAAAATGAATTCACAAGACACTGAATTGCACATCTGACTTACTGGTTTTTATTGTGAAACTGTGTTTAGTTGTGCGTTGAATTTAATTTTTAAAAAAATTAAATTAACTTCTAGAAAAACATGGTTGGTTAGTAAAACGAAAGTTAAGTTTGAAAGTTAAAATTAGACAATATAAGTAGTTTAAAAATATGTTTGACTTATTTTATGTATATTTATAGAGTATAGATATCGTTTGAATTATACTACAATGTATTTGGAATTCTAATAATGATAGTCACTAACAGCTTTAATGTAATTAGCCATTGACAGCTTGATTTCATCCCTCTGTTAATGTTAGTAATTTAATGGGCTCTATTTTAGAGTTATTTTTCTTTACACCCTATGTATCGAAGTTACACTTGACACAATTTCATACCATATTTTGCATTTTACACATTTAGTCCAACCATTATAAAATTGTCACAACATCCATCTATCAACCAAGTGGTTACGGGAGATGTAGAAATAACTTTATCCCCTCTGCATTTTTTCAATTAAGCATGTTGAGATATCATCGGTCCAGACTTGATACACTGGTAGAATTTTTTGATGGGACGCCAATGCCAAGAGGTTTTACTGCTACTACTTGAGCTCTAATTCCCAAAAAGGTGAGGGCAACTCAGTGGAATTTTCGTCTCATTAGCCAACGTACGATAATGAACAAGATTACAACACAATGTTGCCTATGTCTTAGTGAAATGCTACCTGTTGGGTTTGTGGTCCAAATTCTAACTAGGGTTGCATGGTTTGGTGTATTAGGCCTTAAAGACGTCTAAATAAAATCTATGGAGGAAAAAGGGATTGATAGTGCTAGCTTTCCGCTAGCTGAAAGCTCAAGCGACAAGACATAAATTTCAACTGTGAGCTATAGCTCGCATACCGCTCCCCTGGCGCTCACTCGAGCACCGTGCCATTCCGGGTTTTCCTTATTTTGTTTATTCTACACGTTTTCTATATAGTTTCCATCTTTAGGGTTATTATTAGAATTTGACATGTACCTCTATATATAGTTGAATTCTCTTCATGGTTAGAACAGGGTTTTACCTCATTGATTACTGCAACTTAAAATTGTGTAGGAACACAATATTGTTGTAATTTCTTTCTCCATTATTAGAAAATAAAATCTCAAATTCCACTGCCAAATTAAATTCTTGTTTCTTATTTTATTGTTGTTTATGATCAATACTTTATATTATATCATATACCTTGTCTCGTCCCCAACATGTGGTATCAAAGCATATGTAATCCTTGTTTGATTTCTAACAAGTGATATCAGAGTTTTGGTTTGTTTTGTTCAATATTTTTTGTTCTTCATGGCAACCATTAAGTATGACATTCCGTTTTTCTATCGCAACACTATATTCTCATTGTAGTAGGTGAAGATGCAAGCAGTACTTGCTCATATGGATTTGGATGATGCATTGTTGAGATTTGACAAGATGTCCACAACTTGTACGACGGAGGAGAAGCAATGTAAGAATCGAGAGGTGCTTTCATAAATTCATCTTAATCTTTCAAATAATATTATTCAAGACATTTTGAAAAGGAAATTTGCAGCTGCGTTATAGTTGAAATTTCACTTTTACAAATATTCATCTTTCAAAGAATATTCTTCAGTACATTTTGAAAGAGAAAACTTCAGCTGCGTTATAGTTGAAATTGGAGCAATTGTGCTTGACTAGAAGTCTAACAAGCAAATTGCAACTAAAGAAGTGGTTGTACTCTCATTGCATGACTGAAGGCAGATCATTGGAAGATCACAAGCTATGTTTAAAGAAATCATCGTTGATTTGGAGACTTTAGAGATAAAGTATGATTAAAAAGATTTAGCCTGTATTCTTTTGTGTTCGAACATTACCCGCTTCATTTACATCGTTTAGAGACATAATTTTGTATAATCTTGATACTCTCGTCATTGAATATGTGTACGATACTTTGTTTTCAAATGAGAAGATGAAATATTTGGTTGGGTCTAAAGCTAGAGATGGAGAAGCCTAGTTGTTCTTGGTTGTTATGGAAGGGACATGTCAAAATCTAATTTTAGTAATGAAGTTTGTTTTTATTGCAAGAACAAAAGATATATCAAGAAGGATTGAAATAAGTTGCAGAATAAAAATAAGTTTGCTGTAAATCAGAAGGGAACGCAATCAGATAATTCTGGTGAAGCCTATGTCAATGAAGACTATTTGAATAATAGAGACATGTTAGTTATTTCTAATGGAGACTCCAAACTTG